TCCTGGGCAATCCTTCCTTGATCTGATATGTATAATGACTTCGAAGCTCTTGGAATAAGTCTATATCTAAAAACAAGTTTAGAGACTCCTATCATATATTAGGTCAGTTAAATACACAAAAAATCTTGTGAGGGTCCCAAGATTTGAAATTCTCCTGGTTTTAAACCTCACACAATGTTTGGTCTTAGTATTTATCATCAATATATTTTAAAATTGCATATTGTTTTATATTTTATATTATTTATCAAAATGAATGTGTCTTTTAATGGTTTGATCTCAATTAATACTTAAAGTGAAATGCTAGAAGAAATTATTTTCAATTTTATGCCTAAGGGGTTCTCAATAATTCTACATTCCAAAATAAATGCCATTAGTATTTTGAATTTGAATAACATTTTTGTAGTCAAAACGATTTTTATTTCCTTCTAAGAAACAGAGAAATTATACTTGGTTTGTGTTCATGAGCAAATATATTTACTGCTGCAATGGCTAAAAATTTTCTGCAAATATTATACCTAAGTATTAATGAAGATATTAGTTTGGGAAAATGCACAAGGAAATCTTCACAGTGATCTTTGACATTTATTTTTCTTAATGTGATAAATTAAAAGTATTTAGGAGAGTTAACAGTGAGAGTGTTTATTTGTTTCTTTTTATGCTATTTTGTTTGACATATAGCTTCTGTCATTTAGCTGTTGGAACTAAATCAACTCTGGGACAAGAGTGAAATTATGTGTATGAGCACCTAAAGTATAAATAACATATGAAGTTTAAATAGCATATTTAAAAGATGATATCTTACTTTTAGAAACAGATATATAAAATAACCACCATATGAATAATATGCATGTGAATAATAACTACTAAACTATAATAGTGATTAGATGAGCACCTATATGGGAAATATGAGCTAAAACTCAAGTAATAGATGATACTAGAAACAAGTGATGTGAGACTAGTAATGTGAAAGGCATACAATTAAATTTTCATGTTTTGAAGTAAGCCTTTATGTTAAGTACATAATGTAGTAAGACTTTCCCATCTTAATCCATCCTCTAACTAGGATAATTTGTGTATGTTTTTTAAAGTGGACTTTATTAACATTTGAGCTTTCTAAATAAACTATTATTTATTTATGAAAATTACAAGTGGCCATAGTCAGTGATGTATATATTCAAGTTAATTCATTGAATAATGTATTTACAGATATATGTGAACATATAAGTACATATATATATAACCCTAATTAGGTAAGACATTATTATTCATTATTTTCCCATCTTCTTAAATCTGCATTAAGTCAAAAACCAAAAACTCTTCTCTTCCAATCATTCAGGATTGAACATTTTGTAGTTTAAACCTGAATCAAATATTTGATATATAGACCAGTTACAAGCTCATAGAGTTTGTTTTATTTTTATTCATTTCTTTATTGAGGTAACATTGATTTACACCATTGTTTGTTTTCTGGAAATATGGGATCTCTCATTCACATGTTGTTGCCATAGGGTACACACACCAAAGCCCTCATGGTCCACACCTTCATCATAAGGCTTGTTTTAAAATCAGAAATACCTTTCAGTGAGAGAAAAATGACAGTAACGTATTGCATATTTTCAAATGCTTTTCTTTGGTAAGTAGTCACACTGGGAATTTTTCTAGTCATATTAACTAAGAATCTTAAAAATGTAGGCAATATCATTTGGTTCTCTTCATTGGAACTTTACTGGGATGTATGGCTTCAACCAACACAGATGCAGTTACAGTCCTCTGCTTTTCTCAAGTGTCTTCAGAGAACATGTGGCTCCATGGAGAAATCTTTTGGGGGGAAATCTCACAAAATAAACACATCTGGCACTGCATCAGTTTTTCCATTAGTGGTTAATTCTGCACTTTTGGTCAAATGTTTTCAACAAGTGAAACATGGCTGGTGGCTGTAACTTTGTATATCATTTCAATTATCTTTTTCTTTAAATTGTTCTTGACAATAACATATTATCATTATAATTATACTATCACCACTTTAAGTGATATCTACATTGTGTAAATTTTTTTCACTTTATTTTCAAGAATCTTTGTAGTAATATTTATTCTTATCCTGCAATATTTTTTTCTTTTAAACAAGATGTTTTATGGTGATGAAAACTTCCAACATTCCTATCATTTAACTCTGGATTTTAAATCTTTAGAGTATTATGACAGTATCCCCTGCCCCCCAGAACATTCCTTAGAATAGCGCTGTTTAAGAAACTCAAGTTATACTATTCTACTGCTGTTGACTGAGACAGGAGGGTGATGGTGTGAAGAAACAAGAACAAGGGGGCATTCATCATGGTATCACATTAACAGTGATTTTGTTGCTTTTGTTACCATAGTCACCTTAACCTTAAATCATTCAGTGTGATAAGACACTGTAATAAACACTACCTTAATCTGGTTAGAAACTACAATCACTTAACCATCTACTTTGTGGACTTTAAATAACAGTAGGAGGTGTGATTTTCACTTCAATTTTCAACTGAGCAGTATTATGTTCATCTTTTTTCTTAAGCACAATAATATCCCTGAATTGACCATTCCATAGAGAAAACAATACAGTTTGGAGACAGTCCAGTTAAACATGTTCAATAAAATAGACATACTTTCTTCAATCCCCAATGATGCTTTCCTCATCATTTCATCAGTCACTGAACTATTTTCTTTCTGCTTCATAGTCATAATCCCAGAGGGTTATGGAATTAAATATCCGAAATGCCATAGGTGGGTATTTGGGGACAACCATTCAAAGCACACCGCATTTTGTTAGACCTTTCAGTAGAGAGAAGTAAAGCATAATATTATCTTCTCAGTAAGATATAATGTTACATTCTTTTCCAAGTCATCAAGAGGTCAAAGGTTGTGCCTTAAAATAAACTCAACAAATTTTTAATTACTTAAACCCTGGAATGAGAATTCAGAATGACCTGCTTAGTTCACACTTAGTTGCTGCTCTATTAGCTCTCTTTAGAGAAAAGCATAAACAGTACAGGATAAAAATGAAGAAGGAAACTACCAAGAAGAAGCAATAAAGGGAAAAAATATTATATGTCAGATGGCAGGATTTCTAGACATTTTAGCAATTTCTTTTTAGTTTTTTATGCTCTAGAATTCCAGACATAAACTTGGGGGTAATTTGTTGTTTCCATGTTAAACTGCTAATGAAAATTTCTCTGTGAATCTTTTAGCTGAATTCACTTAAGTCATAGCTCGCCACCCTAAAAGAAAATTATATTGGCTAAGAGACAGTCAGTGTTTTTGAACTGGTGAGTTACTGTCATTGGGGAAGTAATTTATATTATCTATCCCCCAGTTTACTCACCTAGCATAGGGAACCTCTATGGTCCCTTTGAACCTTAAATTAGGATTCCATGGAAATTCTTAGGAAAAATGAGAAACATTTTCTCTTCATAAGGCAGATCTTTAATTATGCTTTTTATTAGCATGGCTGTTTAATGAAATTTGATTTTTGTCTTTGATATAACTCTTTGCTTTTGATTACATAAAGCAAATGTTTTTTTTTTTTTTTAAATACATTCTTCCATTGATCCTCTTCCTGCATTTTTCCCTTCTGTTGTTAGCATTCTTCTCAATAGATGGTGCTCTTTTCTCAGAGACATTATTTATCTTTCATTTCTCATCCAAAGACCAGGGAAATCAATTTGACTCTTTAACAATCATTAGCTGAAGAAATTAGACATAAAGTAGGAAGAATAGATGACAAGCAACTTGCTGTGACTTGATCATAAAAACATAATGGAGAAATTATTCTTAAATGATTAAAGAACTCCATAGAAATTGGAAATATCTGCTAAATAGATGAAGCAAATATTGTAACTAAATATGAAAATCTCATGTTTAGTACTTACAACTGCAATAGGAAGAAAATCCCAAATTAGGAGATATTTTAAAATGTTTAAATATTTTTCTACTTCAACACAAGAGAATATGTAGTATCCATATTAAGATACAGGCTTTGAATGTACACATCAACACTAGCATAATGTACATCAACCTAAATTAAGATAGAAAGCTTGAATATTTGTTGCCAAATAAATTGGTAGCATCTGGATAAAGAGAGTGAGCCACAAACACTTTTGAAATCATTTCACTAGGTAGAACATTCCCCCCACCCCATGCCCCAGAACAAACATTAGAATTTTCTGTAGAATAGCTTATAACCCAGAATTCTGCTACTTCTGTTCTCTTAGTTCCAACTTTAGGGGTTATTGAAAAATAGTCTTGCCCTGCAGTTCTCCAGAACCTCCCTGCTTCTTCCCATTTTAGTATTAGGTAGGATGACTTCCCTAGCAGAGCTGAGACTGCCAACAGCAAGTTGAGCCAGGCAACACAACTGCCATGCTTGCTACAAACAAAGCAACACCACTTAACATGGAGAGACACTAGGAAAACTTCTTCATTGTGTGTGGCCTCAGAATGGAAGGAAGCGTAGGACACAAGTTATAATGGCTGGGGAAGTGGAGGGTGTGGCAGTGATACAGACTATTACACCTAAACCAGCAGGAGTAGGAAAGTTGCCACGGTTCATGTTTTCAAAGAACTGAGGATACTCAACCCCTCTTCCCCAGTTAGGATAAACTAACTAGAATTCCTCTCCCATTCCACTTTTTCACAGCTCTTTAGAAGCGGCTGAGGAATTCACTGCCCAAGAGTCCTCTTGGCTCAGGGCAATCAAGCTCAGATTTAGAACATATTTCTGGTAGAGTTTTATGTCCTTTACCAAAGCAGCTTCTCTGTTCCTGAAATTTTGGATGCTCTTTGTCAGTGGAGGGGGGAAAAGTAGCTTTTTGCATTCAGACAGCAACTGCTCTATCCACCCTGTCCCCAGAAGCCCCCCTGTTCACCACCTTCACCATATCCTCCCGCCAGACCCACTGCCTGGGGACCCTTCATGCCCCATTGGCAGCAAAACGCTCCCGCTCAGAGCCAGGTGTCTTACTTACCTGAAAATCACAAACATGACCAGGAAGTTTCCAAAGAGACCCACCACACACACGATGGAGTAGAGCGCCATAATGGTGACAGCCGTGATCATGGAAGGGCTGCCAGTCGAGGGGCACCGGCTGTCGCTCCCACCCAGCTCGGTGCTGTTCGGACCGCATGGGTCTGACCGGTTGCCATCTAAGTGGGAGAAGTTGACCCAGGAAGCGGGACTAGGTGCTGGGGAGCAACTTGAAGCGTGTTTGAAGGCATCAGTGCAGTTGCTGGCGTTCCCGGCCACGAAGCCGCTCTCCATGGTGCTGACGGCCGGCCGGGACCGCGCCGGCAGGTGCCCGGAGCCCTCGGACCTTTCGGGTTCCACGCGCCTCAGCCGCCTCCTCTAAGAGCAGCTGCCCCAGCTTCTGCTCTTTCCTACAGAAACCAGCCCTAGCGGAGCCACAGAGGAGCGTTGGGGAGAGGGGGGCGCTGAGCGTCGGATATTATCCCTTGCTTGCAGCCCCCTCCCACCTTAGTTGTGCAGACACCTACCCAGCCCCACACCTCGGGGTGGGGGGCGTGGGGAGGGCTGTGCGGGAACAGAGGCTGCAGGGGAGGGAGGAGAGAGCAGGGGTGGATTTTGCGCAAAGCGATCCAATGGAGACGGGCTCCCCGGTCGGCGCTCCTTTTGGCAAGGGAGGGGCGGGACAGGAAAGGGTTGGAAAGGTGAGGCGTGAGACGGAGTTAGTTTCTTGCAGCAGTAAAGCTTAAGAAAGGGAGCTTGCAGCACTGTTTTTCAAGTCCTTTTTCCTCTGGATAATGTGACAGGGAAGACTTTGCCCTTATGTAACTCTGGCAACGCTGACACGCCAGTGGTCTCCTCTTTCACCCCTACCCTGCGCTGCCATCGCTTGGAGCAGGGGACACAGTTGTCTTTATTCCTCCTGCCCTCAGCCCCGCAGTCAGTCCTGAAAATAGGAATCTGTTTTCATGAATTTCCAACCCTACACATGTGTCTGAAACAAGAGTGACCTTTTTTTTTTTTTTTTGCAAAAGAAATGAAAGCAAATAAACTTTTATGGAGGAGACATACTCCTTTTATTCTTTACTTTCTCCATTTTTCCTGGACTAGAAGCTCTATTTGCATCTGAATTTTATCCTGCTGGGAAAGAGGCACAAGAAGAGGTTACATAAACCAGGGGCTTGGGCATACAGCAAAGTCAGTGGAAGATAATGTTCTGCTCTACTTAAACCTCATAGATGGGATTGGAATTATCAATTATCCATTTTAATTTCAGACTTTCTGTAGGGGCATGTACTTCCCAGTAGAAGGTTGTCAAAACCAATGAACATTTTGCACTATGTCAGACTGTTTTTTAGCCTAGAAATTTCAGAAGGTTCTACATAGACATCTGCAACTGGAGAGGCCCAAGCAAGATTCTTAAGGAATATTGATATATTTTTATTATTTTATCATTAAAAAATTGATACCTCACTTCTAAGTCTACAAGGGCTCTGTAAACTTTGTAAATCAACCAGAGCTAAGGTTTCTTTTGGTAAAGTTAACACTAATTCTAAAGTAATTCTCATTTCTGTGCTTGTGTATATTTGTATATCTATGTATCTTTTAATGATAAATATTGGCATTAAATATCCTCAATTGGTTGTAGCAAGTTACATTCTAGTGTGGCAGAAATGCAGAGGAGCTTGAAAGAAACATTTAATTCCAATACTATCTTTTGCCCTTTGTCTTGAAACCAGGTAATTCATAGGTAAACTATATTAATCTAACTTACTTTGTAAATGTTCAGTATTATTTTTATTCTTTCGCATTAAGGGTATAATTTCAGAATAAAACATAACAGAGATATCCTAGAGACTAATAAAAATGCTTTACCACATAATCTCCTGTGAACTAATGTATCAGTTCGTTCAGTTCATTCAAATTGACCTGAAATCTCTCTGCTCTTGAGGACACATGGGACCTAGAATTCTAAGGGCACTTGATGCAAAAGCCAAATAGAGTAAAATTCCTGGACTTGGCATCAGGTCATTTTGTGAATCTTATACTTTTTTAGTTATATGGGCTTGGATATGTTACTCTACCTCACTGACTGATAGTTTCACATAAGTTAAAAAAGGAAACTAATAAAACCTTATGTGTGCTAGCAGGATTACATGATATATGCAATGCAATAGTAGTCCTTTCATAGAAAACTCATTATTATTATTATTATGCTTTATATATTTGAAAATAGCTGAGCAGCCTCTTTTATCAGTTCAATGCTAGCTTCCTTCAGCTGTAGTTTTGAGTCTTTTCAGAAGCCTCGCCTCTTTTCCAGCCACAGGCTAATTTGTCCATCTCTTCTTAAGGAACAACTCCAGGGGTAAAGACAGTGCTCAGAGTTTGGCCTGATAAAAACTGAGCAACATTATAAACTTTCTCTTTCTACCAATACAACTATAGGAAGGTCCCATTCACTTTTTTATTTATAAAGCACTTTGCTCACTTGACTCACCTGAGGTTTTGTATTGACAGATTGCTTAAACATAGCCCAAATCAGCTCAACACATGTTTATTAAAGATCTATTTTGTACCAGGTAATAAAGTTTAAAAAGATAGATACAAATGCTTTTGACCACTGCAGTTTTACTTCTTACACCTGATAAATCACGTTTTTCCTATAAATTTAGTTGCTTCAGAAATAGATTTTTTTAAAATAAATTATATCTGCTAGATAAAGTTTATGATTCAAATCCAAGAAGATATTTTGGAAATGATGATTCTGTCATCTTTGGGAAGCCTGCTTCCTCCTTTATATACTTCACTCCCCAGTGTTGTATGCTCTACAAGATGTTTCCTGAAGGCAGGGCCACTGACAGACACAGCACTTAACACACAGTGGACTCCTTCCTTCTTGCTCTCTTATGTGTGAAATATATGTGTGTATACACATGCACATTATCTTAATTTAATTAAAAACAATTAGCATAAGTTTCATAAATGCTATGGGGTAAATGTATCTCCCCCAGATTCATATGTGTAAATCCTAACCCCAGTGTATGATATTAGAAGATGAGGTATTTGGCATTTAGTTGTTTTATTTTTAAAGTAGAGTTTTCCTGAAAAGCATTGTAAGCCTTCCCTTAAATTGCACTAATATCTATGACTAAGTATCTCCCATTCATTCAATATAAAATATGGGAAAATACAGAAAAAATTGAATTTTTCTTTCAAATACCTTTTTAAAAAAATTATTTATTTATACAAGCACTAAGGTACAGGCCAGAGGCGCAGGAGGGTGAGACAATTCACCAGAGACAGAGAAGGGAGCAAAACAGACAGAAGAACTGTTGAGGGGAGCAGTAGGCTAGTAAGGAGAGATCTGCCGCACCATGTGGGTAGCTCCCTGGCTGGCAGGGAATCGAACCAGTGCTGCAGAGGCTGCGGACAGCTTCACAGTGCTGTGCTCAACCTGCTGCAACATTTGGGGAGGCCCCCATTCTTTCAAATATCTTAAGAAAGGCTTGAAGTACACAGAGAAGGCTGATCAAGGAAATAACAAATTAATAGCACCCAATATATAATTTTTTGAAAAAAGACAAGGAGCTCAAATTCCAGCTTCTGTATCACTTAGTTGCTTTTTGAAGTGTTTGCCCTTTTCTTCATTCCCTACCAGGGTAATCTCAAGTCTGCTGTGACAGCTGAGTCTCTTGTGGAAGGATGTGCACTTTAAATAAATGAGCTATTTTATTAAACTTATTTATTTTATATAACATGGTTCTAGCCATATAACCTTTAATTTCCTTGAGCCACTCAATGCTATCTGTATAGTAGGAATATCGGCCTGTTGATATTTCTTGCTTTGCCAAGATTTTCTATTTGAATAAACCATGTCAGTCAAGATTTAAGTTTGATATCAAACCCCTACCATCCAACATTTTTCATAAAAATATTTAGTCAAAGGAGTGCTTTTGTCACAGCTAGGGAGGAAGCTAGTCAATGCCAAAAGTCACTCCTCTTACTTGAATTTTAAAATACATTGGCTTTAGTAATTCACATAATTGCCATCATTCAAAATTTATTTTAATAGCTTAGCCCTGATTTTTTTGACAGTCACTGTTAATGGAGTATGTGATTAACAGCTATTAATGAGGAATATAGATCTCAATACTATGCATAAAACCATTACTGTGGTTTGAAGCTCAGCACAAAAGAGGGCATCCGAGGTTTCATGGCAAGAGCTTTCATTTCATCTATTTGTTTACAGATATTTTCTGTTATCTAACATCTAAATACGGATAACTACTGAGAATATAAAACATTATGATACAATATTATCCTTGCTTATCGTATTGTTGAATATTCAGTGAAATGGAATATGTATTCTTTATTTGTATGGTAAAAATAAAATAACAAAGAAAGAAAAACCTCACAACCACCTCACCCTGATAAATCTAAGAGGGTGACATCTGGGATAAAGAGTAGCATCTGTGGGCATTTAATAGAAAGCAGCCCAAATCCAGGCTCTGTTCCTTACTGCTTGTTCCTTAGCTAAATCACTCAGGCTTGCTGATACTTAGTTTCCTCTTCTGTAAAATAAAAATATGAGTCAACTTCAAAGGAGTTTTACAAGATTCCTTATACATGAAGGACATTATCTTTTGCCTTTTGTATATTGTTGTATATGACCTGAAGATTAGCAAGAATAATTATTGGGGATATTATATTATATTTAATAGCACAGACTCAACCCAAAAGGATTATATTCTTTTATGAGCCTGAAGGTGGTGTCCATGGTTCAACTTAATCGACTCATTTAAATAATTCATCCAAACAGCTAGTTGTGGTCCAGATAAATAATCATTTTTTGAAATCTGCAACCTCAATTGTATTTGAATTTTGCTCTTCCACCTTCAGTTATAGATGCTACCATTATTCTAGTATAGTCTCTTATCATTTTATATTTAGATTCACAGTTATCAGACTTTTACATCTTAAGATTCCTTATACATTGAAAAATTATTGGGGATTCAAAGAACTTTTGTTTATGTAGGCTTTCTTCTCATATCAATCACATTAGAAATTAAAACACAAAACTTAAAAACATTTCTTTAGCAATTCATTTAAAATAAAAATGAACTTGTTATGTACATAACCTTTTATTTTATAAAACACTTTATTTTTCAAAGCAAGGAAATAGAAGAGTGGCATTTACATTATGCAAATATTTTTAATGTCTAGTTTAGAAAAAAATTTGGATTCTCATAGCTGTTTCTGTATTAAATCAATTGCAATATGTTGTTCACTTGAAGAATATGAAAAAATATGGCCTTACACAAATATGTGGTTGGAAAAGAGTATTTCAGTGGCCTTTATAGATAATTGGGAATATTTTCTTTGTTAAATTTAAATTTAAATGTTAAATTTAAATTTAATAGTTGTTAGTTTTCTTAATTCTTGGAATATGTAAAATTAAAACAGAATATTTTGTGTTTTTATTAAAATCCATGGGTCTAACTCTATTTGTGAATAAATGCACTACCTATGGATGATTTTATAATGTTATGCATTGATCATTTGGAAAGTGTTGGTTTGCTGGATGATGTAAATTACCCAAATGCTGAAACATTTCATTCTCTCTCTCTCTCTCTCTCTCTCTCTCTCTCTCTCTATATATATAT